GTATCCTCTTAGGAGGGTATGGAGGACCAGCGTTAGCTGGGTACCAGTGTCTTCATACACTGTGAATAGCACAAACTTCATAGGTTATAAATAGTTTTAATCCTTGAAAAGTACAGGAGAAAAGTTGCCATTGTTATTAGAATAAATGTTCAGACTAAAATCCTAGAAAAGTTTTAATGGAGATGTTCCTTCATTGGTCTTCCTGATGAGTTGTATTGCTCGTAATATCTGGTGTCCCAAAATCTCACCTACCTTGATTTTCTGTGCATAAATTCAAAATGCAAACACTAAGGAAAATACCTGCTGGAATTCAGAAGTCTTTATATTTAACTTAAGGAAACTATGAATTTGTTTATAAAAGTCAATTCAGTACAGCTCTGTGTCAGTTGATGAAAACAGCAGAAAGGAAAACTTAAGTTTAGCTTTTAACTATATAACTATTAGAATTTGAAAAATGTATAATTAGTTGCTGCTTTTTAATGATGGAAAATATAATTTAAAATTCTTTACCAATCATATGTATCTTTCTTTCCCCTTAGCACTTTCTACCTCGGTGGAAGTGTGAGCAGCTAATTAGACAAGGCATTCTGGAGCACGTCCTGTCATGACCTCGCACTGAGGCACTGCCAGGCTTCCGTGTTGGAACTCTGAACCCATCCACAGAAACTTCTACACTTCCTTTTCCACCCCCCCCACCTCTTTGGTTTTAAAAGTTACATTCTATAATATAACCCAGAATATTTGGCTAAGTAGTATGGCATGTTTTTCTGTTGTACAGGATTCCTCTTTTTGTAATATGTATTTATAATCATAACATTCCTAAGTTACTGCAATGTGTATGTATGCGTTTTTTTAAAAAAAGTAAACATTTATTACAATTTGAATCTTTTAAACAGTAAGAGAGTTTCGCTTGGCTGTTTAGGGAGAAAGTAGGTCCCTGTACATCTTGTGTTGTTTCTGGTGCTGTGCATTGCATAAGTCAAGGAGCTGACTTTCTGGAATATGTATTTCCAAATCACATGGGCACATGGAGATGATGGTCTATAAAATTTTTCAGTATATGTAATGTTTAATGATAATTGTCTGGCTATTTGGGAAGGAAAAAACGGACACAGTGGATTTGCCCATTTCCAACAGTGGTGGCTGGTCTGGCTCATGTCTATCTGAGCTTGTGGGGTGAGCACCAGTATCACCACTTTGGAAAGGGAAATAGAAATTAGGGCTAGAAAAGAAACTTTGT